AAAAAAATCCCATCCAGACGGGATCCTTGCTGCTGAAGCACTTGCAACATCAGGCAGCCACAACAGAAACTAATGAGGAAAGAAACAACCTGAATTTCTTCTTATCCACATAATTTTTAGAAGAGCACATTTCATGATAAAAGAAGGGTCTTCAGGAAGACAGAATTATCTTTTACTGTAGCATGAATTAGGTCACATGAATTGGAACATTTCAAGAGATAACATTCAGAAAGCTGACCACATTCATGCTGCATAGTTAAGTCACWGAATTCTGCTAAAGAATCATCCAGATACTAAAATTCATATAAGCTCTAAAAGTATCAGCACAAATTCATGGAAGCAGAAAGAAACCTCAAGGCTATCACTAAATAGGAGGCTATCACAACAGGTTCAGGAATTCCATGAAAGGAAAATCGTTACATGTTGGAAACACACCCTTAAAAACCCTCATCAAAGATTTAAAAAATTCTCAATACTTCTTGGTATCTGGAGAGAGAATTTTAGATTAGATGAAATTTTGCATGAAATGGTACCACTGTTCTTGGGTTTACATTAATAATGCCTTAATCATTAGGTACTTTTCCTTTATAACAGAGCATTTGGATGTTAGGCAGTTTCCTCTGAGCACTGTTCTTGCCAATAAATGTATGGGGAAAGTTGGCTAAATCAGGAATTACTACCAGCCAGTGACAGCTGCAGCCATAGTATCAAGATATTTCAACTTGGCAGTGATAGAACATGTGGAATAGCTGGGAGTGAGATAGAAATGTTTCCTTCATGAGTCTAACTGGAAAGATCTCAAAGGAGCTGGAATACATGTAACTTGTCCTGGACTAGCAAGAAGCCTCCCTACCAGACAATTATGGGCATGTCAAGTAGAGATGTGATATCAAGAAAAATCTCTAGTCAACTTGTGACTAATTAATTGCCTTTTGGTAGAAGACCAGGGTAGCTGTCTCCTGCAAGGACAGAGGCTGGATCTAAAAACAGGAAGGAGAATTAGGGGACAGACTAGAATAGCTGCCAGGGAATGAACAGGAACAAACAAATGGACAGGTGTAAATAGCCCTGCTGAGCAGGAGACTTCGGTAATGTTGTGGAAAGACTGAAATGTTAAAGGTTAAAAGACTGAAACAATTGGCCATTTGCAAAAGCAGCAGGTGCTTTGCTGAGGCCAGGTTTACACCCTGCAATGGAAGGGGAGGAAGCGAGTTTTTGTGTGCTGTGACAAAACCTCTGATCTGCATAAGAATAGCACAGGTGCAGAGGGGGTGCCCTCCCACCACCAGAGGATGACCAGGACAAACCAACCTTTGTTTGGCAACAAGCTGGGATTTGAGCCAGGTAAGTGAAAAGGCTAATAAGCAGCACATCCTTCAAGGTGGGAAAATGCTTTTTATCATGCCAATGTCCTCCCTCTTGAGGAGGGCTCAGGTGTAAAATTTCCCTTCCCCCACCCCCAGGGGAGGCATTGGGACATTCACACGTAAGTCTAAAGGTGTTCATCCCTTCTGATAAGGAAAAACTGGCTCAACTATGAAGGTGTGAAAAATAGCCATCATGTCTTAGAAGGGATCATAAACCATCAAAGACCCCTGAAATGCCCCAGCACTCATTTCTAAGGCCTTCCACCAGAGGACTGAGCATGATCTACAGTGTTACCTTAGACAGTGTAAAACCAAGGCAGGTACCTGGATGTTCTCACCTGAATCTGAATGTATTGAACCTTTGAACTCATGGAACTTTTTGTGTCATGGGTTCCCCCCACCTTCAATAGGTCAAGACAGCGACCATCACTTCAACCTACTGACATCTAAATTGCAACAATCAAGTCTTGTAGCAGATGCAGGATCCTCTACCTATTCTTATGTTTCCTTTCTATTTTTCCCTTTCCTTATACACTTTCTTATGTGATATGTTTACACTTTTATATTGTTATATTACTATAGACAATAATCAAAACAGCTACATAGCTCCTTTCCACTGTAATCAAATAGTTCCAAAAGAAGTTTGATATATATATATATATATACACATATATCTATACATATATATACACACACAGTGGTCATTCAGTGTTTCACTCCAATGCACCCCAAGGGATCTATTAACAGGAACCTCAGTTCCTCAACCTTGCCTCAAGGGCAGGTCCTTACAAATGTTCAAACAAAACAAAGAAAGATTAGAAATATCTTTATCAAAATTTCCTGCTCGCAAATGAATCCTTTCTTTCAGGCTTGGTCTTAGATCAACAACATGATGGTTTTCTGAGATGTAGCAAATGATGCACAGTACCTCCTAGATCCCCAGGAATTATTTTCATCACCTCTCAGGTATGGCTGTGTGTCTGTTCTCTCCTCTCTGCAAAGTCCTTGTTCACCCAATGCTGAGCTCTCCCTCTCCAACCACCCCAYCTCATATATTGAAAACTTCTCTGCCTAAGCACATTCAGCTACTCCTTGGGGAGAAGTCATCTTCCTGCCTTTTCCAAAAGTTCCTGATCCCATCAGTCTCAAACAAATAAAGAAAATGKGAGCCATTGCATGAGGATTACAATACAAAAGGATTTGGGAAATAGGAGGTTGCACGTGCCCTGAGGGTAAGATCAACAGAAAGGACGTCAAGACAACAACTCTCAGGAACTCTGGAAATCTGACTACAAAATCTGAAAATATATTCCCCTAGCCTGCTTTATGCCAGCAAACTTTTTCATGCCTGTATTTTACAAACATCTTTAAAGTTGAGCTTATTCTATTTCTACCACAAAATGGAGTTTACATAAACTAAGGAAAATAACACTGCATTTCTAGGCAGGATATACCTGGGTGAATTTTTGGAACCATCTCTTAGTAAAGTCATTGTATAGTTTTTTCCCAGGGGACTGTAAGGAAATCATAAGCTGCACTCAATCACTGTTGTTGGTTGCAGGTCTATGCTAGATTCAATGCTAAATATACTGTTTGGAAGTTTTGTCACAAAACTGAGTATTGAAAGTTACTATTTAAAATTGACAAAATTGACACTGGCTTGCACTTTGCTGTACACAGATTGTTTCAAAATTCTCAGCTCATGAGATAAAATCCCAGTTGCAATTTTCAGCATTGTCTGAAATAAGAACAATGTTCTTATTCCACAGTTTTGGGGAATCTTGTGGACCCAGTCTTGTACTCTGTTTAGTTCTTATCTGAATTTGAGGCATCAGGAGGTGCACGGCGTCAGGCCAGGAAAAACCACCATTTCATATTTCAGTGGGTTCCTGGCTAATAAAACAAGCATAAAGTAAGGTTCACACTACTAACTGAGGGCCAGCTGGGGCTTCTAGCTGAAGTCACAACAAATGCATTTTTCTGAGGTTATAACTAAAATTCCTAAGAAATCAATTTGCCCAGTCTTTTTATCAACCTACTTTCCTTACCCACTGAGAAGTGTTGCTTGAGCTGTGTGGTGTGCACACCAAGAGCATCAGAGATGTTGACTGACTTGTCCTCATAGTCATCCTGTCTCCTGTAGAATCATTGATGCTTTCAGCAGTAGTTTTCAGGCAGACTTTTCCAGACAGTAGTATGTGCTGCTTTTGAAATTCCTCCTAAGGATGACATTCTGAAGGTATCCAAAAGGAGACTTGAATAAACTACTTRTTTTCACTTGTAAAGGAGCCTGTAGGGTATTTGTCTGCCATCACAAGAGCTCTATTGTCAGGGCCAAGGCTGCACCCATCAGCAATGGTTAGACCCTCTGGGATAGCAAGCAGGGGGGAAAAGTGTTGTGCAACAGCTGCTGGAAGAGAGGAATAAGCATGTGAGAAATAAACAACTCTGCTATGATCAGTGAAAAAAAATGGTCCAAGGAAAAATAAGTTTGTCATAAAACAACTGCAGATCACAAAACTATGKAAAAGACATGCAAAACCTCTTAACTTCAAGAGGCAAGGGAATATGTAACTGAGTAGAACATAATTAATAAAATAATTACAGGCTTTCAATGACTGATTTCTTAGTATATAAAGAAACTCTATTTTAGCCATCATCTTGTGACAAACCAGAATAAGAAAACTTCATTATATGGAATTATGTAATACTGTTTTGGTTTGGTTTGGTTTTACTTTGTATTTGAAAATATAATGCAAGGCTTTGTTTTTCCATGAAATGCTTCCATAGAAATKTAGCGGTGTGGAACTTCCCAGCAACAATGATTTTTGTTTCAATAAATACTATGATGGCCCAATCTCTGCTTGTTTAACTGTATCCCATTCCACTGCCTTCAGGGGTGTCTCTTATTTAAGGTAACAAACCATTTACCCTGGAATCCAAATAAAGCAACATGGATAGACYCCACTCTGTGGGTAGACGTAATGCCTACAATGCAGCTACATGTATCTAAGGTAGGTGTCTGGTTTTATTGTTTACTAAATGGAGATTTAAATAATATGGTTAGAGCAGTTCACTGCAATTTGATCCAACCCTAGCTGTTTACATTGGGGTGAGATRAAGGTTGCCACAGATCCTGTTAACTACAAAGGCAGGTTCATTTTGATGGAGGCATGTATTCTCTCCAGACCCAAGTTCAATCAGATGGATCTTGTTCACACTCTATAGAAACAACAGCCTGTCCTAATTAAGGGCATCTCTGGAAACACTCTCAATAATGGCCAATGTAACGACCCGCTCCTATTGTAACACTACAACCCATTGCCAGATTTTTGGGCCCTTAACAGTAAACAAATCTTTAACCTCAGTAAGTGTTTTGAATATACATTTATGAAGAAAATTACTTATTCTCATAATGAAACTACCATATTAGTTTTTAAGCAAGTATTATAGTAGAAGAAAGGGAACAGAAAAAATCTGACTGCTCCTAAAGACAAGTTAAAAAGAAAATCGGGCAACATAAATCACACATCTATATTTCACAAAACCAAAAAAGATCAATGACATAAAACAGATCTTTACAAAAGTTTGGCAATGTTGGGTAAATGAATACAGATGCTAAGCATTGCTTGGAAAAATAATTTATTATGTTAGCTTACAAAAATGACAAGTTTTTGCGTTACACTTTAAATTACAAGTACAGCTAGCAACTTTGAACCTGCAAAGGTACTATCTCCTGAGATGCAATAAAGACTTGCAACCCTGCCTTCAGGAATTGCTTGGAGTAAGTCCCAAGTCAGCAAGAGTAATGTAGCTTGATATTTTTGTTACTGCCTCATTGGCTAACATTTTATAGCCTAATTGCAGAAAGTAGGTTCAAATGTTGACGTTAAATTAACATATGAACTTTCCTGGTAGAGCCTTAACCAAACTTAAACATACCTGCAGACTGTGCCAAGCTCTCAGTTTGCAACAACATACTCAGAGCATAAAAGACAGCCTTCATATACCTCATTCTGCAATCAACTTGACAAGATCTCAGCACTTAGTAGTTTGATTGGTACTTAGGCTCTATACATGAGATTTGATTCTGGCTTCATATGGGTATAAATCAGGCACAGGTATTCAGAAGTCAATGCAGCAACTCAACAATAAATCTGGTGTTCTGGTGAGACACAAGTCACACCTTGTGTGTAACCAAGTGCTTCAAGCTTCACAGGTTGGTAAGGATCTGTACATCACAACAACATGGAAACAGCTCCTCCTTTCTATAATGCATTGTTCCTAAACCAGCATGAGGTGTTCTGAAAATCCAACCTGTAGACTTAGTTTTATGTGCATCCATGTGATTTACAGGAAGTAGCAGTCAAGCAGTAGTTTGGTTGAACTTGATTATTTTCTAACCTAAATGATTCTATGATTCTGTATTTTTAAATTCATTATGTAATTCTCAAGGCAGTCAAGTTGGATTTTTTTCCACCTTGAAGATGGCAGATAATGGAAAAAGTGGACTGCAAACACTTTCTGAAGCTATCTTGGAGCAAAAACATCACAGGACAAAAAAAGCCAAAACTGGTTTTATTTTATGAGTGTTTTGCTAAAAAAAAATCCCTACCAATATTGTTTGCATTTAGATGTAAGATATAATTAGCTTCTCCCTACACACATAAAAATTCCCATCTGGGGTACTCAATGAATTACTAGATCAGTTAAAAAACTGATGAGAAACAAAACATTTAGTCACAAGAGTGATATACAATCGATACACAGTACAGGTGAACTATCTCTCCTTGGAGATGGCTTCATTATTTTGAAAAAGCTGTAGTAGACCACATTAGGGTAGAACAAAGAGCTGCMATATTTCAGATTTTTTCAAATTTCATAAGATTATATTGACGATATTCAGAAGTACAGTGGTTTTCACTATATAATTAACTTTGATCTAGTCCTCTTGAAAAYATGAAAGAATCTAAATGAACTCAAAATGTAATTTCTCAGATTTTTAAAAAATCTAAATTATAAAAATGACATTATGTCAAATTATTCCAATGTTTTGCAGCTTGCTATCAAATTATTTTCATAAGATCATATGTTTTCCAGCAAGTACTTGTTGCTCACCTGGCCAACACATGTTGTAGACTTAGAGACCTCCACAATGCAACAAAGAAATGGACTAAGAAAATATTTCTCTCCCCTTTTCTAAAATTCAGCATGAAGTTGTAACTCCACTGACATTACAGACAAGGCCTCTGCTATCTTTACTGCAGTCACGATTTCCAAGCTTAAAAGGATTAATTTTCTTTTTGACSAGTAAAATTTTACAGTGTATGAACATGTTTAAACATGTCAATATCTATAAGAAAGATACATAATTATGCGAACAGGATATACCTGATGCCTACATAGTTATTAAAAGTCTGAACACACTTTTACATTTCAGAAATCAGGTTTGAAGGAAACTGAAATAGTTCTGGTTACTATAGTAAGGTGAACTTGAATATGTATGAAGAGCTGGACTGCTCRCTTAACTTTGAAGGACTCCAAGTCAAGAAACAATTCAGTGCTAAAGAATTTCATTCCACTATTAACATTTCTATTACATTAACATTAAGGTTTAGAAGTATTAAAGCAACCTTTCTGACTTCACACCAGCACAGAGACACATTCTACATTGATATAATTTGTTGAAATTCTGCAGATTCCTTGTGGTTACTTTATACTTTACTGCAGTGACAATAGTTGACTGGGAAATATAATGTAATATGTTCAGTGTCATATGTCTGAAATGCCTGGGCAATCTTAGTTTTAGAATGTCCCAACTTAAATGCTAGCTCACTAAAACTGTTCCAGTTTTAGGACACTAAATGCAAAAACCCACTGTATTTTATTCAAATGAAATGAAAACAAAAGATCTGGAGAAAAATGGCTCATGTACCAACTAACTTAATTAGATCTGCTTGTAATGAAGTATGAGAATTAGCTGGGTTTTTTTTTGTTTTTTAGCTAACCCCAAATTAAACAGAATCTGACAGCATGAAATAGCAAAACTTATTCCAGAACTGAAAAGTGAATAACATTTTCTTCTCACAGTCTCCAAGGAAAAAAAAAAAATATCAGCATTTGCTATTAAGCAAATATAGAACTGTCAGCCTCAAAAGTGATACACCTTCAAACCCTCAGTAATACACTGTTATTGCATTCACACTCTTACCTAAAGTCTAAATATTTTTCTATTTGCTGCTTTTTTCTGGTAATATAATACCATGGCAGAAATTTGAACATTTGATCTATTTGTTAAAATATACTGCAAGGGCTAGTATTCCTTCTGTAGCACATCAGCTGTCTCCAATGGAACTATTTCAACTTTGCTATTCAGTGCACAGCACACATAACAGATTTTCCTTAAGCATGGTTAAGTCTAAATCAAAGTGAGCAAGTCTCACACATCAAATGACACTAAGCGGGGCTGATGTTTGTTGATTAACTTATCCAGAGCTTCATTTTACCTTTATAAAAGGCTGTCACCCTAGAGAAGTTTAAGAAAATACTTACATTCTGGAAAAATTAAGTACATCTTGACTTTGGTACTTCATTTTTCCATTTTCACAGAATTATTTTTCACTATGAAATAAGAAYAATTTATCTCACTTTTAAAAACTTCATAGATTAGTTTTTCTTAATTTACAGACCTCTAATTGATCAATGGACAACATATTAATGGATTCACCTTCCATGGCTAGCGAGCCTCCCTGCTGATATTGCTCACACTGACCAAGGTTTCTGCATTTTCTAGCTGTAAGACTGCGCTGGAGACTGCTCCAGTGAAGACTAAACAACTTCAAGGTTTCTGATGGACTTGTTGACGTTCTGTTAGTTAAAACATGAAACAAAAGTTCTGCCAGCTACATGATGTCTTCATGGTGGCCGCTSTTTGAATGAAATGGTGCTGTCAGTGCTGTACCCGGCAGTGAAAGCCTCAGTAAAAATGGTACACTCGTCGAGCTCCATACACCAAACAGCAACAGATGTAAACTGTTCTCTTGGCCAGCAGCAAAACACAGCTCATCTTCATCACTTTCCACACTAAGTACAAAACTGTGTCACTGGTGGTTTCTGTGAAGAGCCTCATGCCAGAACATAAATTGGGCTGCTTCCCAGTTTCATGCTTGTTTAACAATGTGAGCGACACAAAAATCCTTTTGATCATCTTTAGCAAATTTCAGGGTCACTTTTCAGAAATATTTTAGATGTCAGCAACTGTTATAATGCAGGTGATTTGATATTAACACACTGAAGAAATACACTTTGTAATACGAGTATTTTAGGTTCTAGACTAAGCACTTAGATGTCCTAAATTAGTTGTAGTCTCATTTTTGCCTTGAATCAATAAGATTTCAGGGTAATTGCAGCAATCCTGTACCATTTCCTTCTACAAACTGATAGTAGAATCAATGCTGGCAGCTAGAAAATCTAGACAAATGTAGTAAGACACATTTACTTTGGCCTGTGGAATAATCTTCAAAATTAGACAGCAAGTGACCTGATGTTAGTCCATTTACTAAGTAGCTTTTATTTTAGTAAACAAGTAAGAGTGGCAGAACTCATATGAAAAGAGTTCATAAGAAACAACTGCCTTTAACACTAATGTAATTCCTGGGAATATCAACTACCAAAATTATTGACAAAGGGTAAGTGATGAAATGATGGTATATCTTCTGACATACTAGTGCACTGCAGATGGCAGATGAGAAAAGTAGTCCAAGATCAAAACAACTCTGGTCTGAAGACAGATGAAAATAACAGAGAACTCAAGAACAACCATTGCACTTACACAAAACACCTATTAAGGAGCTATGTCCCTAAAAAATAAAAGGCAAAATTATCCTAAAATAAGTATCTCTACGCAGTTGTTGTTTTTAAATAAAATTTAACAAAAGCATTTTAACAACCACATTAACTAAAGCATTTAGTTACAAATAGCACCCAGTAGATTCCTAAATAAAATGACTAGAAATTAAAAAATATCATCACCACATATTTTCACTCTACAGATTTTGCCATTATTAGGGAAAGAGAGAAGAAACCCCCATTATTTCAGTCAGAGAAATGACAGAAGTGCAACTTCGGCTTTAGAAACAGGAGAGCTATTGTTGTGAGCACAAATGATAAATGAAGGCTGTTGCTGGATTTTAACCACAGCAGTCTCCTTCATTTTTCTCGTCAATATTCCCAGAGACATTACAGATTTTTGAATATCTTGGTTATCAGATTCTCCTCTGTTGTACTCCTATGTGGAGCACTAAAATATTCTTCAGATTTAAAATCTAATTATTTACATAGAAAACCAAGTAAGTTCATACTCACAACAGCCTAGACATGCTTACAGTAAAGAGTTGAGATGAGTTGAGCTAAAGTACAACATACTGTAGCATGTAAAAAAAAATTATACAAGATGGAATTTTATTTAGGGATCACTTTTAATCAGATGTAAACAGTAGATCTAAGGCAGTTTTTAAGCTAAGACATCAAGAATGAAAGTGTTGTGTAACTTTAATCATGAACTGTTTTACATCCCTTCTATTGCTATTTTTCCTCTACAACTGCTTCTAAACTCTTCAATTAAGACCAAAACCACAGGAATTTTTGTGATGCCCTGCTGCAAATCCATTTTTGAAAATGCCTTATTGCCAGATCCTGACCTGTAGCTCACACTGACTTCAGTATCCATTACTTCTGTGGGGTGAAGAGGGCTTAGAGAGATATAAATTTGTTACTAACACACTGCAAGCATGAGGAGTTTAACACAAGTAGTGTGTCAAAGTCAAAGTAAAATGAGACTGTAACAAGCAGTGCCACATAATTTATTAATAATTTTTTTYTGCATGTTATACATATGAGAAAGTATCCAGGTTGCATACTTCTCATTTTTAGCCCAAAAAATTTTATCAGGATAATACTGTCATTTTCATTCACGAAAAACCATTCAGTGCAACACAGTGCAGAGACTATGCCTTGTAAACCATGGATGAACTGATACGCAGATTCTTTAGCTCAGAAATGGATTTTAGAACAGTAGTTTCTTTGCTGTATGGGATTTTCATATATCTGCTTTATTTACTCTGCTGGAACAGTTAGTAAGGATGTGGCTGAGCTTTGAATATCTAAAGAGTTCTTTCACCATCACTGAAGACTGGCTTCCATCAAAAATTTGAGAAGCAAATGTAAGAAAATTGCATTGTTTTACTCTGTATTTTTTTTTTTTTATACTGGACTATTTTATTTTCAACAATTTTTCTTAGGATGACATAATTACACAATGAAAATAAATTATTTTGACTATTTAGTAAATAYAATCTCAAAAGTAATTAAGTACTCTCAAGTCTACTGTAAAATATTAAGGAACTAAAGGGCATAAAATGTATAGCTTATTCATGTGTCAACTATTTGATGCTGAAATAGAGGGCCAGTGCACTTTTGAAAGCACAATATTGAAACACTGTATTTCAGTACAGCATTAAAAAAAAAGAATGCCCGATATTAGCTTACTAAATCTGTATGTACTTAGTAMATACATTAAAAATTGCCTGATTTGCCTAATGCTAAACAGAAAAAAGAAATAATCCATCATTTTCTGTGTGTCATTAAAGGGTTAAAGTATAAAAAAATCTGGCTACCAAAAGGATCAGCAATTTTAAAGAAATATGAAATATACAAAAGTTTTTTATTTAAAAATTATCTGCTTTTCTACTTTAAAAACTGAAACTGTGCAGAAGAGTATTATTTCAGACCAATATGGAAAAAATATTATTTCTTAAACCACAAAGGGACAGTTTCACATAATGTCATGAACGGAACTACAGCCTTCAGTAAAGAGGAAACAAAATTCACTTTGTAATATGAACCTCCACCAAAGGTGGAAGAGAGACAAATATTACATGCTATCTAGACTGCCATGCCAAGAGGATAAATTTAAGAAAGAATTTCCTGGTTTTGGAGTCCATAAGTCTACTCAGTAAAAATTCCTTTTTTTGTTGTTGCTGGTTTTTTTTTTTTTTTTTTAGTGTGGTTTGACGTCTCTTCTGTTCTTCCAGCCCTTTTAGAAAATTTTATAAAAGGATATAAAACTCCACTGAAAACTCAGTCACAAGGCCAAAGGCAAATGTACTGGTGCACTGAACACATTTAGAATCTTAATGCCAAAATTATTCACTCAGCAGTAATTTCTGTCCTGTAGAGTTCAAAAATCAGATTCAGTACTTGATGTAATAGTGAGGGAAATCAGACTGTTTATGCTTAGTTTTCCAACAATATAAAGCAGTAGTGATCCTGTTTTAAAAAAATATACTTCAGATTTCTAAGTCACAAGTTAGGAAAAAATGTAAAAATATATAAAATGGTAAGAATTTTACAAATTCCTTAGGAAAAGAGAGGACATTATATTTCTGGTATTACTTCTCAGCTGAGACTCTTAAAGCCCCATTCATTTACCAACAGGCACTTTTACCTCAAAAAAAAACATTTAAACTTCAGTAAATTGGGTAGAGCATACATTTATCCATCAGCAGTCCATGCACCAGACCTTGTTACAACATACAGTGTTTTGAGAGCATGATTTACTGTTTCATAATATATTTTAAAGTGACCTTTCTATGTTTTGGCCATAATTTCTAGGTATCATAAAGCCTCCAAGCTGATGACATTTCATTTTGCAATTTTTTAATGTTTTAGCAGACAAACCAGTTAAAATATTTTAAATGCCATATTTCCAGCTCTGCTCTGATCCAATAAAAAATAAATTACAAATGTTGGATCCACTTAAAGTAAGTTTAGTTTATGGTAATTGTGGCATGAGCTAAACACTGTTTCATGACATCCACACTCTTTGTAGAGAGAAGTTTATTTGCTGCTTTTTTCTTGTCCCTGTCATGGCTGTTGAGATCACAAGAGGTGGATATGCCGGTTTTGCTGAGATGTCCCAGAAGTCTGTGAAAAGCCAATRACATAACTACCATGCACAGGACAATACACAACAAGAGGTAGAGATGTTTTTAACCAAATCAGATTTTTAAGAAAAAATTTAAGCAATTTAAGTTCACAGAAAATGAACAGAGAAAGAACTCAATGTTTTTCTCATTTCTGTGTCTGATTTTGATGCTCTCAGCATGTTGTTCTGTTTGAAATAGGTTGAATACAAGGTGATTGTCAAGGAAATACACTGTCCAGAGAACCCACTAGGGAGTGGGTGCAGAACACTTCATCAGAGAGAAAAATAGAAAGAAAAAAAAAAAAAGTCCTCTTTTGAGTTGGCACATCGTGACTTGTGAATAATGCCTGAGACACCTACAGTGCTAAAAAATGACAGAAGAAATAGGCTTCCTAAATATGACAGGAGTCTGCAAAACAAAATGGTTTGAATGGTGTTAATATTGCTACAGTACTCCGACAGATTTGGCAAATCGTTTAAGGCACACTAGCAGTGATCCAGCCAGAAGYGGTTGAGAGGAGAAAAAAACAAGAACCATCAGAAACACCTGCATTTCTTTAGACAGCAGAAAATTCTTCTGTGATTTGCTCTTTGAGACCACTGTAATGCAAAATTGTGTCCAATTTGTTTAGAATTGAGATAGCTGAACAAATACAAATGTGCAATATTGTATTTCCATAATATTTTACAATCAATATGACATATCTTCTCTAACAGAGAACAAAACAGAATAAATAAATGAACATTCAACCCTGCTATTAAAATTTTCACAGCCACAAAGAAGTGCCCTTCAAAACACTTGATACAGATGGGTGAAATTCAGATTCTTTAAAGTGCCTTACCAGAGGCCATCTGATAAAACTGTTCTGGCCAAAGGAGTAATTCTTTGTAAYACATATATGCTGAACCTGTAACCAAGATATGAATTTTTACTAGCTTTGAGAAAATTTTGTTTTGTTTATCACTTCTTTCTTAAATGATTTGTTCAAACTGAAGGACCTAAAATCACAAATGTGTCTGTACAACACTGTATAATGACTCTCATAATAATAGGTAGTTTCAGAATATTTTTCATTATTAATAATGTTATTAAAAAATAAAAAAACAAATGTCAGAACAGTTTCTGTACGCGGGTAAATAAGATCATAGCAAAGATAATTGCCACAGGTATTTCACTTTAYCTTTTTTCAGAAATGCAATAAATTTAGTCTAGGAGGATTGCAATAACAAATACAAGAGAATAGCAAATTCCCAGAAAGCCTTTGGTGTACAAGTCACCTAAATTATCATAAGAGTTCATCCCGATCACTCTTGGTGCTCTTTYGTTTGAGTGTTTGGCAATTGCTGAATCATTAAGGGTGCATCACTCCTATAGCAGATGGAATTACTACTGTTCAAAACCAAAAAAAGAGTGGAATGGAATTTACCACAGAGAAAACTGGTGTGGTTTTGTAAAATGTTCTACTGCTTTCCTCCTTCTGCTTGCAGCTTCCTTTCACTGGCAGCAACACTAGTAGAATCTTCCTTGGTGGTACTCGTATCCAAAGGAACCAACCCTTTCACAAGTGCTAGAAATAAAATCAATAAGAATAGTAATTAAACTTCTTCAGAGACACACATGAAGTCAGTTTGACTCAATGACCTCAGAGACCTTTTCGAAGGTCTCTGATTTGGCTCACTAACCATCAATATTTATTTTAAATATCTATTTAATTATACAATATTACAATTTATTCAGCAAGTAATATGGTGCTAATACATATTCAATATTCATAAGGCTATGAATTGAGAAACTGACTTATTTTTCTAGAGAAATAGATTTTAATACTCTATAATAGAGGCATGGCCAAGACCTTTCTTATACACAAGACATGTAGACTGCATTTAAAAAAAATTTATACTTCCACAAAAAAAAATTCCCATTTATTTTTTGTTTATTTCCCATAATTTTTGTTTAAATAAGACCTAGCAAACCTCTCAAAAAAATTCTGACAGAATACCTTTACCAACAGCATGGACTAAAGTCAACAGGTRACACTGAACAGGTGTTCATATAATGTCTTATCTTCACAGCAGGGTACACATATAGTGCTTATTTCTAAATACATTATATTGCATCAAAACCCAGACAGTATGAATTGAAAAAAACATCTTATGATAAAATGCTGAAGAAAAAATATTGAAATATCCAAACATTCAGCAAAAGGCAGAAATTAGGGGACGGAAAGTGGCTTTCAGCTTATACAACTTCCTCTTCTTACAATGGCCTTCCTGGTATCAAAAGCATATGAGAAAAAATGGTCCTATTGATTGTTTGACATACACATCCAGAGCACAATTTTTAATGATCCAGTAAAATTGTAGCAGTATATTACCAAAAGTTATTTATTAGGGAGCAAGACTTCAGAGTTTGATTAGGAGGAGTGAGATGTTTTCACTTTCAGAAGAATGAAGTCACTGTGTTTAGGACATTGGTATAACACCGAGTTATAAGTTTTCAGCATAAAGTTTTCATTATTGGCCCAAAAGTCTGCTACTCCATGCTATTTCAGTGGTACCTCCTGTGGACAGTATTCAAAGCAAGGTAAAAAAATCTTAAAGAAAGTTCATTGCTTAAATAATTCAATTTGCATTTTTTCTAAGTGATGATGTCCAGCTCCCAATTATTCCAGGGTCTCATGCTTAAGCAGCCTTAGAAGCTTTTGTTCTAGAATGGTGTCCCACAGCATAGTGATGTTGCAATGTCCTTTTCCTTTTAAGTACATTACTTATTTATAAATGCCAATACAAATAGTCTTCAGAACTTATGACAAGTGTACATAGAGGGATAAAGACAGGCATCAGCAATGCACTGCAGGAGTTAATTGCTATGACAACAAAACCTACATTCAGGAAAACCTGATTTTATTCAACTATGATATCAGTCATACTATATACCATGTTGACACAACAGTGTTGTCTATCACAGCTTATGAAGCCTGGGAACATAAATTCCCAACAACAATAGAAAGCCTCTAGGACATATGGTTTCTGGGAAACCATCCAGGTTAAAACCTCAGAGTGATGAAATRTGCAAAGAGAAAGGCAGGACTCAATTCACAAAGCTAATGCAAAGCATGTGTAACTCGAGGGACTTTCGTAATCAAAATTTCAGGAAAAYACAGTGGCCATAAAAAACAGTTTCTGAGGATTATTCTTTAGATAACAACTAGTAGTGACTTTCTGCACCAACCATTTTGGTCTGATAATAATATAGACTGCAAACCATCTCTAGTGAATGTTTCCTTGAATAAATTATTTTCTCATTTAAACTTCTTCATTTCTAAGAAAATGGGTATAGAAATAAAAGCAAAATCCTGCAACATATTTTCAAATATGTTTGTAATGGAAAAGCTGTTGTAATTGCAGAAATTATACCAGAAACAAAACAGAATATTGACGCTAATTACTTTTCCTTTTAACTGCTTGCTGCATTGGCAACTTTTCAGTAAATATATCTRTGGAAACAGATTGTTGTTCCCCTATTTGTTTTCCCATACTATTTGTCCTTCTTTCTTCAAGCAATTTTAAACTTAAATCCCATGATCTCCCTCACAGATAATTTAAATTATATCAAATGAGTCTGCTCTCCTTCCTGGTGTTCTCTACAAGACACAGGAGACCCATGGAAGGGAAGGAAGCTTCTAGTACTAGTTATTGACTTCATAGTCTGTAAGGTTTCACGAACTGAAGAGAAATGGAATAGGAAAATATAAATCACAAAGGCTAGCTAACTGCTCCAAAAGGTAAGTGAAAAAGAAATAATCCATTCTTCTGTTTTTGAAGAAGTAAGGAGACAATTAATCACAGAAAATAGATGATGACATGCATGGGAACATTTATTAAAAGCTACAGTAGATTTGGGAGCAAAGATAGATATCAAATTATACTGTGCTGTCAAAGTCTCAAATAATAACTAATTAACATCATTACTGAAATTAAAAGTTGATGGTGTTTATGTGACTATCATGACTGAAGTAGCTGACTATCATTTGCCATTCACCGGAAAATCTCCTTAATGCTAATAACACGGCAGAATTTTCAATGTTCTCATGAACTGTATCAACAATTTCTAAATACACATTTGACTGGTGGAAATCAGGTTCAGCATAAAGTGACAATCAGTCACAAATCAAAATCTATGGAATAATCCGCATATTTTACTGCCATAAGCACTAAGTAGTGAACTGAATCGCTACTGTCTTTTAATTACTTATTTTGTTATCTCCAGAAAAAACTTAGCGCTTATTGCTGATAAAAAACAGAATCAGAGAGTAAATATGCAGAGCTGTTTCATCAGATTAGTATTCAGATCACATGGATCCTATTTCTCTTACAACTGCCYAAAATTTATTAAACAGTATCAAAGCAACAAAGTCCTAACTTGTTTAATTCAGCTTAAGTAATATAAAGACATAGTAATATTTTAGGAATGTTTATGCTGCGCTTTTAAATTTCAGTGAGTTTTTGCAGTGGAATTTTTCAATTTTTGAGATTGGAAGGGACTGCTGGAGGCCATCTAGGTGAACATGCTGTAAGGCATGGGTTGYTTCTTTTTTATACCCCAAACAGGCTCAGATGTAGTTTGATTTGCAAGACTTTGACAGGGATAAGGTTTGAGAAAATGGAAAAATCAACTCTGAGTCAGGGTAAAGTGTGCCTGAAATAGAAATGATATGGAGGCATTTGCTCCTATGCTTCATTCTCACTACTGTTATTCAGTATGCTCTGAAAAAAGATGCTAACCACAACCCACAGATTCTGAAAGGAAAAGAAACCAATTCCTTTAACCTCATCAGATCAGCTCAGGACTTACTGGTGAGCAGTTATGCACCACAGCATTCATTTTAAAAGGCAACACTTTCAAAGTCCAATGAAGCTTGAAATAGGACTTATCATTACATAGAATGTAACTTTCTGAATAGGTTCCCAGTACACAAACTGACTAAATTGAAAAGAAATGGAAGGTGATATTTTTCTGAAGAAAAATATTTTGTTATCCCTGTACTGACATGCTAAAAAAGAACCCTTAAAAGCCTGATTTTTAAGTTCCTTTTGACACTCATGCAAAGATGTGTCCATGTACCAGATCAAGACCTAATATGTCCTATGTTTTATTGAGCATTTCCCAGCTGTATCAGATCCCATGACTTAGCATGAACATAAATTGTATACACACAGGGTAGAAAGAACAGTTAAAAAATACTACTGAAGGAGAATTAGTGAATTCAACTTTCACTGTGAAAATGCAACACAAACATGAAACTAATTGGTGCGAATGAAAGATATGGGAAAGAATCCACGGTTGAGGACATCTCTGGTCCCTGAGAAGACACACAGCTTACACAGGTATGATTCTATGCCAAGATTCAGAATTCAAGGACAGCCCTTTTCTTTGGCTTAAGTTTGGGTGACAAACAGAATCTACTGTAGGTCACAGTTAAAAAACCTCAAACAACGATCAGTGGGATSCTTCCTAGGCAAAGACATCCATCCAGTATCTAAAGCTAAAACACAGAAGGACACTTAAGATGGTTCTAGGACTCCTTTTTTGAAAAGTCAAGTGTCTTACTCTTTCAAGTAGAAAAAATTTTACAAGAGAAGAATATGTTACTTGTAGATTTTTTCTGTAATAAAATACTTACAACTTGAATTTGAGAGCAGTGAGCTGCACAAAAAGCTGTTTTGAGTTCGCCAACTAGAAGAGTGAGCAGCCACTTCTATACCAGATATTTCAGCATCCATTTTCGCATCCTATGGGAGCCAAATAGAAATAATTTAACTGTTACAATCAAACAGCTGTAAACTTTAACAAAAAGCATACAGTAGCATACCACATACCGTGATTTCATACATACTGAAAAAGACTGATTTGAGTTCTCTCAATTCTCAGTATTGCAATTAGTTTCAAATTAATTTGCTTATTAATTTCATTCTTATTTCATCAATATAGAAGGTCTGCAAAAAATTGSTTTGCTTTGAGAAAAGCACTAGCAGCATTGCAAGTCTTTGTCACTACAGTCAGTTGTAAAAATGCTCTTTCCAGTTCACATCACATCCACGGTTCAGGACATATCATATCAGCAGGGCATATATCAGCAAATGATGACTTCCTCATCAATGAATGCTCCATATTAATTCACTGAACTTCCAAATGCAAGGAGTAATAAATATTAAATTTATTTCACTGCCACTAAGGAAACTCAAAGTTTTTTGATTTCTTATATCAAAATACCTAAAGGTGCTTTTGAATTTTTTTTGTTAAACCATTAAATAAAGTACARAGTACAATGTTATTATTTATGGCTAAACCATATAGCATAGATTCTTGGTGAAGAAAGTAATTTGGTCTATAAGCTAAAAAGAGAAGATAAATTTAAAAAGGTCATTTAAACAAAAATCCCTGAAAAATCTCTATTAGCCCTGCAGCAAGCAGTGCCCAGTTACAATACCACCCAAAACAAGATTAAAAGCTTGGCTTGGTATCCAAATTACTCAGTTTCTTGAAATGAGAAGAGGTAATAATGAAAAAATGCATCAGTTCATAAAATACACTGTTTTGCTGCTAAATTCTTATCACAGCCTCAGGGAATTTTGTTAAAATGTCTTGCAATTTATCATTGATGTTAATGCTAAAATTTGAAAACTAAACAGAAAACAAAATAAAATTCTACATTAATTTAGAGATACAATGAGCTTTTGTTCCATCACTGAAGAAGGATTTACTACTATTAAGACTAATGGGAATTATACATATTAATCCCCTTATGTGCCGATGAGAGACTTAATAATAGCACAATAACAACTTTTAAAGAATAAAAAAAGTTTTTCTTTCCATTCTTCATCCAGAAACAGAGTTTCTAAACAAGAAAGGTGCTTCTACCAGTAACTACAATACAAAATGGCTTTCTCTTAACAGAAATAGTAATTTGTAGAATGTGCCTTTTCTCATATGCTTCACTGACAATTACATCTGTATGTTGTGTTGGAGCAGATGGTCAGTTGTCTGGGGCAGAGAAACTGTTCTGTATATAACTAATTGTCCCAATATACTTGTATTTCTACATCACAACATTTATCTCTAGTCTTCCTCTGGGTTTCTGTTTAGATTTTGTTTCTGTTGGTATTCTTATTTTCTTTTAATATGTTATAGTGATGGGGTTTTCTCCCCAATTTCTTCTTTATCTACTATCACTTAGCCCTTTCTTAGTTGAAAAATCAAGATTGTTGTATCTGATGGTATTCTGCCGCCCCTGGACTACTTTTATTACTAGAAATCTTCCATTTTAACACATACAAATAGAAATTACGATTTTTGGGTCTTCTAAGCAGCAGGTATTTTAAAGCCATCTGACAAGACTACAGTAGAGTAGGAAGATTGAGTGGAGACAAAAGAAGGAATGAATGAGAAAGGAAGGAAAATGAGAAAGGAAGGAAAAAAAMCCCTGCTTTTAGGGGAACATTCAACTTTGGCTTAATTCTTCCTCCTTAAAATAAAAAAAGGCTGGGACACAATATTAGATAATGCCTGTTTGAGATTAACATTGGCAAGCAAGCTGAAAGAAGTGTATTATAAAAAAGGATAGAAAGAAGACCATAATAGAGGAGAAAGATTGATTCCACAAGTAATTTTACCTAAAATGATCAGTGTAAAAGATTTTATAAGAATCATGCATATTCTTATCACCTATCAAATATCTGTCTACTTTGTATAGCAGGGGCACTATGTTGTGTACAGAGCATGAACCAAATATATCAGAAAGAATGAACTTCAATGTCCTCAAACCAACACTCTTTCAGCAACTTAAGAAATGCCCAACTGATAAACAGCAAAAAAAACAAATGAACAACAAAAAAAAAAAAGCATTTGAGTTAGTTCCAAAGTAGTGTAAGAAAGGCAAGCATTAAAAAGGTTTTTTTAGTCTAAGCAGCCTGATCACTGAAATCAGATTAGTGCCCGTCTGTTACTTGGTTTTGAACATTCTGTTCTATTTGCAACAGCCGTGACAGCAAAGAGTACTATATCTCATGCAAAAACCCAATTAGGCCTGACTAAATGGAAGCCATTAAATGCTCTCCGTTGTCTAAAGAAAGAGAATTGTTTTGGAATCAGCTTTATACTGGATTCTGAATATAGAGTTCAAATCACACAAGCTCAGTAAGTTCAGTCAGCTTACAGCAATGTTATGTTCTACTGTCAGCTGATTGCATTCCACTTAGCTTTTCAATGTTTTCCAAATTTCAGTAGCTACTGGTTTAGTAACRCTTGTGTGGAGGGAAAGGAAATTCAAGAAACTGATGATTATCATGAGCAACAGACTGAATGTGCCCATTTTTTCTTTTCAATTTTGTCTTACAGAAGAGCAAGATGGCTTTTTCAAGTAACTTAATATCTTCTTACAACAGCAACTTACTAGGCTAGAATATTCTGTATTTATTTTACCTTTTCCAGTTTTCTAAACACATACTGGTAAGTATGTCCTCATTTTACAAAAGGAAGATGGCTACAGATGAGGTGGGGAACACAAACACCTTTGATAGAGTGTGGGATCCTTGATTTGAGCTCAACTGCTCAGAGACACAGGTATGATACACTGCCAAAGAATCTAATTTGATTGAGAAAAGTAGCAGGAATACTAGTATGATTCTTCAGGTCTCATCACTTATTTCAACCACTTCCATAAGAAATTGTGGTTCTGCTGAAGTAAGCTGCTATCACAATGACATTGATATGTCAATGAACAAGCTAATAAGAGAAAGAAAGCATGTTAACAATTGGAAAGGTAAACTCATTACAGGCAACGTTTCTAAACAGGAGCCCTGGATTTGTATTGCAAGGAGTTATTAATTCTTAGCACTGTTGTGAGTTCAGTGAGTGACCTTTAGCAAACTACTTCCCTTCTGTTTGCCTGGATTTCATTTTTGTATGAAAGAGACATCATACGGAATCATTTGTAAAGAATGCAAAGATTAACTACTGAAAAATTACTATATGTAATTTATAAACTAGTCAAACTTTTCATAAAGGAAACTAATTTCTATATCTTTTACTTGAAAGGATGAGAGAAAATTGAACAAAACAATTAAAAWGTTGCTGTACATAGCAATTTGAGAAAGCAGCTAAACACTTCAGAGTAGTAAGACATTTTAAGACACCTTTCTGTGAAATTTGAAAGATTTCTGGAAGGTATCCATGGCACTTACAATGAAAGCAACCCTTCATTCATCAAATTTCATGCCATGACAATATACCTGCCAAGCCATCAGCCATGGGAGCTATATTAAACAGAAACATTCATGTGTGATTTTAGCCCATGTTTAGACTAGGAGTTAATAAGGTAAGGTTACGTTGCTGATTGAAGGTAGTTGAGACACTAAAGAGGAGTACACACATACCTTGACTTGCTGGACTCTTTGCTTTGAATCTTCCAGCTGTTGCTGTAAAGAACTCACTATGTCTTTATACTTCGCATACCTTTCTTCAATCATCTCCCTTCGGCAATGGGGTTCCTAGAAATGCATTGAAAGATCTAGATGATTTCATAATGTGAAAAGTAGCTAGAAAATGTTGTCTGGCTATTGCAAACACAGGTATCACTAAGGCTTTTCACCACAGGAAGAATGAATGAAGTAYTAACTTTCAGAGGCTGAATTACAGCCATAAAAAAACATAATGTTCTGTACACAAAAATAACATTAAAATAAAAGTAAGCTAAAATGAAAATAGCCTCATCCTTAACTGGTGAATGATTTCTTGTAATTCTTTCCAAACTTCAGCAATATCATACCTTCTAACAAAGAAATTCTGTAATGGTAAAATATTAATTACAATACTACAGAAACAAGCACTTGAAAAAAAAACAGTTCTAAGGATATGGATGAAACAGTATTTTCAATAAGAAAACATAATGCTTCTCACTGAACTAGCTAATGATTTGCTTGAATTAACAAATCTCCCAGACAACCTGGGAGGTTATCAAAAATTACTTCCTCTTTCCCCCTACCTTCCTATGAAAACATCGWGGGAAGCACCTGCTGTGGAAAACAATGATAGCTTTGAAATACTTCATTCATGCATACCACTTCAGAGTAAAATATCCTATTATATAAAAAAATCCAGTACGTTATTCGCAAATAGAAACAGTGAATAGAAACAATGAGCTCAAACTGACAGCCTTCTCAAAGCTAAGGCATAAGGCTTAGCTCTCTTGAATAGTAAATTATTTCTTAAACAAAACACTGTGTTGATAGGGACTCATCTTCAGAAAACCACCTTTAAAAAACTAAGCATGAGGGAGAAGGACCCGGGTCAATTTAAACCAAAGATTTTGCATTCCAATCTCACAAATACTGGCTAAGTTATAACTACAGCAAACCAGAAAATGGCAATGTAATTTCAGAGGAGTGTTAAGCAAGAGATGGCAAGGGTGAAGGAGATCATAGATACCCCACATTCAAGACTTTGCTTTGCCAGTTGAGAGCAAAAGTTTTCCTTTAGCAGAAACAGAAGGCAAACACAAACCTCTGTCAGACCAAAAAAGTTCTTCTGGGGATACCTGGAATGTGAAATTAAAACTATACCTCTCAACAATATTTTTCATTAAAAAACCCGAAATTTTTAACTAGTATTTGCATTGCCAAATCTGTTAATGATGACAGCAATAAAATGGCGTGGAATTATTAACGGATGACCTTGTGCAGGAAAAATTAGAATAAACAATGCTCCAGACAAATTTGTTCTGAAATGATTATGACTACCATAGGTTAAGAAATTTTACATAGCAAATAAAATGTAAATCATTATGCATTTGTTGATCTGTGATTTAATACTGATTTAAATTTATATTGTGCATGAAGGCTCCAAATTTTTTTTTATTAAGCCACCTATTTCATAAACGGAAAGCAATTATGGTGCAGGCGTTTAGCCACTTAGCCACTGAAAATCTAATCTGAGGCTTATCAGTATGTCACCACTACTATCAATGTGTCCCATTGTGTCCAAACACACCTTGATTGGATATTGGTGCTAAGAAAGTAAGTGACAATTATCATCATTATCAAAACAAAACAAAAAATTGCCAAGATAATCTATCTTCACTCATTAAGTTAAATGTTGAAACAACTGGCATAATTCATTTAATTACAAAATTTTCACATTTTAACATGTAATATCAGAATTTACCACTCAATACATATATTCTGAAACAGTAATTAACACATGACCTGTTATGCCCAGTTATCAATATTTGATTATATTATGGAGCACCTCAGCAGTGTTCCTAATTAGAACTAAATTTATAACCTCAAAAAATCCACATCAACATAAATTTTTGGGTTTGTCTATATAATACATACATATACAACTGTAAATATCTTATTAAACAACTTATCCATACATTCATAGAGAATATTAATTAACCAAAAAATTTTAGAACTACTCAAAGAGTCAAATGAAATCTTTCTCACTCCAGTATCTTTGCAATCTTCTAACAGGCTCAGTTTCTCTGGCACAGACTCCAGGTGGTCTAAAACTACTCGGGTACTCTAAAGAACAGAACACAAGTTAAAACATTAAAAATTAATCAATTCTTTTAGCCATCTCAAACATTAAAAACCTGCTGCATCTATGGAAGCAGGTTTATAGGCAGGTATGTCTGTAAATTGATCAGGTCAATAGTAAACAGCTCACTAAAGGAAAAAGGACAAATTGAAAGACATAGCATCGTTTCCTCAGTTTGAAACTCCATGAATAGTTACAAGTTTATTGAGCAGAACAATACTTATTTACAATTTTGGAGTTTCAGTAGCCTTCAGAAGGAATTTTCCTTCTATTGCACTTCAGGGAGTAAAGTACATTTAACAAAATAAAAACATTTAGTCAGCGAGGCTTAAGCGTCCATGACAGAAGTAAAGTCCAGAAGATGAGATTGTGCTGTACAGGGGGATCCTGAGTTGAGGAACCCCTGCAGCAGCCCCAAGCCTCATCACAGCCTATCAGCCCTCAGCAGCCAACCAGAGAGGTGCCAGGAGCAACCCAGGCAGATATAAATGGCTCCAGAGAGTGYGAGTGACCCAGAGCACAGGGAACAGGAGCATGGCACAGCTGTGAGGGTGTGGCATAGCAGTTCTCACAGGCAGGGCAGAAAGGGCTCCTCTCTGACCATCCCAGAGAGGCAGCAAATGGACTCAGTAGCTGGTAGGGAAGAGCAAATTGTTTCCTTCTAGTCCCTAATACTAGTTTAATGTGCCTCAGTTGTGTTGACACGCCCTAAAGCTCAATAGCTGCGGGAGTCACAGAACCACCCGAGTCAGAGGCTCGGGCTGGCCACAACTGCTGAAGGGAGACGGAGCTCTCCCGGTCCCACCTTGCCAGGAGTGCCTGATGCCTCTTCACAAGGCTGGGGCTGACAAACAGCTCTTCTGCAGAGTGCTGTGCTAGAGGAGCTGTGTCACCAGGTCAGGAAGCTACAGGAAGAAGTGAACAGGCTACACAGTACTCAAGCAAACAAGCAAGAGAGAAACTGATTATTTCCAGAGACATTACAGCCTCAAGACTCTCAGAAGTCCTGAACCTCTATTGTAGAGGAGAARCAGATGGACTCAGAACCCTGCAGGATAATTTGTCAAAGGACTGKTAGTCTAGGGTCTGTTAAAGATGAAGGCTGTACCAGAAGAAAGGTTTCTTCTCCTCAAAATTTGACAAGTAGAACTGGCATCTTCTAAAACATCTTTGAGGCTCTGGAACTAGAAGGGCAGACACCTGATGAGGGGGATGAAGGTCTTTCTGGGATAGTGGAGCCTCCTACAACACCCCCTGTACCTGCGCCACCTCTGTTAACAGGAAAAGAAGGGTAACAGGAGACTCCCTTCTAAGGGGAACAGAGGGCCCRGTATTGCAGACTGAACACAGCTCACAGGGAAGGCTCCAGGGGCTCGAATAAGAGACATTACTCTTATTCGAGGAAAGGAAAAATACAGAAACACTGCTTGCCTCTGTAATGAGGACATTAATGTAGCCAAAGCTCTACTGGAGTTGAAGCTGGCCAGAAATGTGGAGGACAATAAAAAGCTTTTTTTTCCAAATATACTAATAGCAATAAGCAGTGTAAAAATAACAACATCCCCTTACTGGATGAGGACATTCACCTTGGAAACAGGGACAGAGACAAGGCAGAGGAGGCTTCATATATTTGCCTCTGTCTTCGACGTGGATGATAGATCAAGGGGACCATGGTGCCCTGAGCTGGAGGATCATGACTACGAGAATGATAACTCCCAGTTGACTCTGAATTTGGGCAGGATCTGCTGTTGGGGCCTGTTGGGATTTATCCAAGACTTTTTAAAGAGCTAGCTGATGTCATCACAAAACCTCTCTTGATGTTTTTTGAGTGGTCATGGGAATGCAGAGGTCSCAGCTGACTGGAARCTGGTTGATGTTGTCCCAGTTTCAAAGTAGGGCAAGAAGGAGGACCCCAGGAATGAACTACAGACCTGTCAGTCTCACTTCTGTGCCTGGTAAAGCTACGGAGAAGATTATTCTGGGAGGAACTGAAAAACACCTGAAAGACAACATAGTCACTTATGACAGGAAAGTTCTGGTTATTAAGTATTATTTCCTTTTAAGACCCCTTGAATCCTGTGAGCAGCTTTGGTCACCACAATGTAAGAAAGATATTAAACTATTAGAGGGCATTCAGAGGAGGGTAAAGAAGATGGTGAAGGGCCTTGAGGGGAAGCCATGTGAGGAGTGACTGAGGTYRTTTGGTCTGTTCAGCCTGAAGGAGACTGAGGGGAGACCTCATTGCAGTCACAGCTTCCTCAGGAGGGGAAGAGGAGGGACAGACACTGATCTCTCCTCTCTGGTGCTCAGTGACAGGACACAAGGGAATGACCTGAAGTTGTGCCAGGGGAGGTTTAGGTTGGATATTAGAGAAAGGGCTCCTCACTCAGAAGGTGGCTGGGCACTGGAACAGGCTTTCCAAGGAGGAGGTCACAGCATCAAGCCTGACAGAGATCAAGAAGCATTTGGACAATGTTCTCAGGCACATGGTGTGATTCTTGGGGATGGTGCTGTACAGAGTCAGGAGCTGGACTTGATCATCCTTGCCATCCTTCCAACTCAGCATAATTCTCTGATTCTATGGCGGTTTCTTGTCAGTTTATTATTTTTACTGCTGGGTTTTTTGTTTTGTTGGTTTTAAAAAAAATGTATGCAATGAGCACTTAGCTAAATAAAGAGCAATCAAATTTCTTGGTTTTAGATTAGACATCTTATGTTCCATTGAAAAATTAATTACCACTCTAGGGATGGACTCAACAATAAGATTTTACATTCACCCCCGCCACACAAAAAATGTAGTCTATTGCAAGTTGCAAAGAAATGAAGAAAATAAATACCACAGTTTTGGTTTCGTGCACAGATAAAGTTGGTTGGTCATGCACAAAGAACAGTCATGCCCTATAGGCCAGATGCCTCTGCAGTTTCTCTAAGGCTGCCCTTCTATTATTTGCTGAAGAGCAAGTAAAACCAGTACTGTTTGTGCTTTCTGAACAACAGCTGGTTTTCCTCCACAATCCCAAAAATCATACTTCTTTGGACAAAGTTCTGCTAGATTGGTTTTCAATGAACCGATAATGGGCTTCATTAACCATATCACTGCCTTGGGACTTTAAAGCAAAAATCTATAAAACAAATAAAATTTAACAATCCTGAAATCAAATATCATTACACTGTAAAGTCTACACAAGCGGACTTAACTTGCCCTTAACTACAAAAGCTCTATTTCTAATCTTGGAAAGTCTCAATCTGACCAACACAACAAACATTCCATTTAGATCCTAGACTTAAAACCTGAAGAGACTAAAACTTGCAGTCACAACAGGATAAGAAAAGTCAGTGGGAGCCTCTCTGCAGAAGTGCAATCTACTTCAAAAAGTTGGAAATTAGGAGAAAGGAATGGAGAATCAGAACTGAACCAGGTAGTCTAAATGAAGACAGACCATCAGTTTAAATGCAATTATGTCTACCTTGTCGTTTGTTCCAAACATTCAGTTTTTAAGGTTTTAAGAAATATTCTTCCCATAACAAAGATCAAATTTCATAAACAATGGGACTCATTTGCTGCTTACAGGACTGAACTTATAGTCAGTATTCAGTACCAATAAACTAAATTAGATAGAGGATATGAGACTCATTCTCCTGTTCTGCAGTTATAAGTATACAAAAACATTATAGAAATATTTCTCTATTTTCTGCAGTTAGGAAAKATTTGTACTGACAGTTAATATGCTAACAAGATTAGGGCATAATTCTATAAAATAAGCATGTGGTTGAATCAGTTTTCCAGATATTTGTTTGGGTTTTTTTTCCGAGACTAATAATTTTCAAATGATGTCTCCCATTTGTTTGGAATAAACTTTTATCCTTAGACTGTWTACTTAGATAAAACAGGGCTCTCTTATTCCACTGTTACATTCTGCACTAGGAATGCAAAATGCAGTAGGAGAGAAATATTTGGGAACTCCCAATTCTGGCCCTTTTTTCCTGGATAATTTCTACTCTTCTGCAGAAGAGTGCAGAAGGTGCAGAAGAGAACAAAAATACATTGCAGTCAAATGTGCTAGAACAATAACTACTACATTATCACAGGGAAAGAAATTTTCAATACTGTTGGATGAATTGTTGCTTCAAGAACAATAGGAAGAACAAACCACCTACAAAATGGGGTAAAAGGACTGATCAGCAAGCAAGAATATTTTAGATTTGAAGAAGTACAGGAAGAACAGTCAAAAGGGAAACAGAATAAAAGAAAGATTTGTTAGTCATTTAACAAGAACAGGAAAATAGAAATGAGACAGGAAAAATAATGTGGAGATCATTTAGGTAAGAACACAAACCAGAATGAGTAGTTTTGCTTTTCTTTCATACTAATACATTAATTCAGTCAGATTTAAAAAAAAAAATAAATACAGGAATTATACAAGACAAACTGCATGAAGTTATGCCTGAAAGATACATAAATCTCTTCCTGAAATGGGGTGCACTGAGGATGCTCAGTACAAAAAGGTCCCTTTTTGCAACATTGAATACTGCCCACGGAAAGGCCTGAAACGACAGAAAGGTGAACCCTTGTCCTGCCTTGCAGTGAATAAAGCAGGACAAATCAGTTTTGTAAAACTTGCAGAATTAATAAAAATTACTTCTTCCAGCAAGAAAACAGCACCTTTTTGTCTCATCTGCTGCATGAGAAAGGAAGCTCACTGATCTTCACACTTAGCTAGCCATGTTTGGATCAAAACTACAATCTCTTGTATTATCTTTATTAGAAGTCTTCTATTTAAATGTGTAACTTAATTTGCAATCAAGTTTTTTTACTTGCAAAATTCACTTATGATTTTATAGRGATTTAAAAAATTACTTTTCCTGAAACATATATGGTTGTTTACCTGAAAATAATTACAGACTCTGCAGTTATACATGTTAATAATGAATATATAAAATGGATTCTTCTTCATATTTCTGGATGCATTCATGCAAGAGGCCT